TGGTTAAAAGATATAGAAAGACTTTTAATTCATTTGACTTTTTGTATCTCTACAAATGGAAGCAAAATTCATTTGATAATCTTAATATATGTTTTATTTATTTATTTATTATTTTCTTAGTTATCGATAATAATATTTATTAACTTTTAATTAGTTTTTAGGCTAATTATTATAGATGATAACATAGTTAGTCATATATATAAATTAACTCTAAAGGAACGAGTGAATGGGTAAATGTCGCAATAAAAATATGTGAAGGTGCACCAAATTTGAAGTTAATATAAATAGAAAATTTCATATTTAATCTGACATGATTTGTAGGTACGGTCCGAGTCAGCCTTGACTTTGCGTGCACTGGCGAAGATTGATCCAACATATGTTGGTGGTTTGGTCAATTATGGGATCACTACATTGAAGGCACTAAGAGAAAATGTGTCATTTGGGAAGGTATTACATCAAAGATCTAGTTTTTTTTTCTGAAAGAGACAAAGTCTCAGGCAAACTTTATTAAAAAAGAATAAAAGAATACAATGAGCAACTTACAATAAAAAAAACACACCACAAACTAAAAACTACACCAACCTATCCATAACCATTTTCTATTACAACTAACAACCCAAAATCTAACCCAAATAAAGCCGACCCAACCAAAGGAATACTCCAAAATCAAAAATCACCAACTCCAAATCCTCAACAGGTACCCAGTTGTCCCAATGTTTTCTATTTGAACACATCTTTCCCCTCTTCTTCCTTTTAGCAATTTTATCAACCTCTGCTCATGTCCCATCTAGATTTTTAGACTTATTTCTGAAACTACCCTTCGAAGGTTCTTCATGAGTAGAAACCTTAGTGACCTGCAGTCAAGAAACATTAGAGCAACTTAAACAAAAGTTGTATGGGCATTTCTGTCTTTTATACAACCGAGAAATTGGTTAAGGAAAAAGACTAACATGATAAGATGGAGAAGAGGGTGATGCTTTTTTGAATCCCATCACAAGTTTTCCTTTAGGCTCTAACCTACTAAATGTTACTGAACCAAAAAAAAGAAATGAATAGCTAAGAAGATGACCACAAGTATTTATAAAAAGAAAATGAAAAGATGAAGATGAAGATGAGGGCATTTATGTCTTTTACCTTTATTACCAGCTTGCAACTGCATGGACTGTATACAAGGAGTGACTCCTTCTAGATCATACATTCTACTATTATTATTAGGCCAGAATCTAAAGTGTAACACCCAATCAAACTTTAAATCTTAAACTACAAGGGGGTAACCTTCAGGCTGAGAAATTGGCGGAAGATAAGCATGTATCACAAAAATATATATAAATAATAAATGAAAATAATGAATGGTTCTATTATTTTTATAACAATTATATTCATCTCACTACCAAAAAGTTAATACTGTATTTTTTTATCAAATATCCCAAAACTAAACTTTTTTTTTTTAACATTACAACACAATTAACAATAAAAACAAAAACTTCCAAAAATGCCCCTCCATGTTTAAAACCTACGAATATCTTTCAGGGGTTTGAAGTTGACCGGGTGAGTTTCTGGAGTGGCAATTTCGTCTTCTTTCCACATTTTAATTGTTTTGTCTGCTTTAGTCAATTAAAAGTTCAATTTTTTCTCAGATTACAGGTGATGATGTTGCTACAAATAATTTAAGCATAGATGTTGAGGCCATAGATTTTCCTTGGAATTTGGTTCTATATAATAGAGAAAGAGATTCAGAATCTGTTAACATGTTTAATGGCAAAGTTGTAAATATGCAATATGCAGGAAGATTCTTTTTGTAAAAGAGCTGCAAGGAAGTTGCTTTTGGAGTTCAAATCTGATAATTTCTTAAAGTATGAGGTTAAATGCAAGAAATATCAATCTTTTTTCATTGATTTGTTCATTATAGGCTTCTACTTCTATATATTTTATCACAAAACATTACTTTGAAAAATCAACAAATTATACAAGTTTTAGGGCAACTGTATTTGATGGAACTATTATTATAGTGTTAGGTGATGCACAAACTCGCTACATTGTAAATGTTGTGAGGGAGGAGAATGAGGAGGCTGTGAGGTTGCCACCTAGCATCTCAATTGAAATCTCATCAGGTATACATGCTTATTTTAATGATAAAAACAATATGTAACTCATAATAACAACATATTTAGATATTTACCTAAAAGTAGAAAGTAAAATTCATTTGTTCCAAGAGATTAAAGAATCCGTGCAGTCAGATTCCAGGCATTTAAGGCAATAATATCATAAAATTTCTCTTCTTTCCAGGGTTATATCATAAAAACCTGATTAATTAAAATTTTAATATTATTGGATAAATTAATATTTTTGTGGTGGCTAATTTCTGGTTGACATTGTTGGGTTCTTCCATTGCCACAGGTGAATATATATATATATATATATACACACACACACACACACACACACATATATATACACACACACACACACACACACATATATATATATATATGTATGTATGTATATATATTGGTATCTTTCTGAGTGCGAATGGTCTAAATTGAAGTTTTTCTTTTGTGTTATATCTTAGAGTGTGATTTGGTTAGTTATCTTGAAGATGCATGGGTCAAGATCTTTGAATACATAAAACGTGTTGAAGTTTGTTGTTCTTTTCCAGTATATCCCCGGTGACCACAAGCCACCACCGGAG